GGCCTGACTCACCGTGTCCACGCCCCCCGCCAGCATCTCCGTGACGTTGGCCTCGATGTTCTCCTGCGGGAGCTTGTTCTGCTCCAGGAGGCTGTAGAGCACGCCTGGGTACCTGTCCACCTTCCTTCTCCGTCTCAGGTCCAGGTAGAAGTTCTGAGTGTAGTTGCTGGCTGCCGGAGGAGCGGGGAGGGCCGGGGCGGGGCGGCCTGTTCACTGAGCTGCTACTTTGTGCTGAGCCTTCCTAGCTATCCTTTAATTCCCTTCCTTGCGTTCCCCCTTGCAGGCGCTCTACCACCTGAGCCAGTCCTTTGACCTTTCTAGGAGAGTTCCCTCCTCCTTTATGTTTTGCCCATTGTGGGGCTTGAACTCAGGGCCTAGGCGCTGTCCCTGAGCTCTTCAGCTCAACATGAGTGCTCTCCTACTCTGAGCCACAGCGCCACTTGCGGTTTTCTCATGGCTCATTGAAGATAAAGACTCTCATGGACTTTCCTACCTGGGCTGGCTTTGAGCCTCAATCCTCAGATCTCAGCCTCCTGAGTAGCCAGGATGACAGGCGTGAGGCCAAGGGCGCCTGGCTGCCCACCCCATCTTTTCAGGCTTGATGGCATCTTGGGGGGGGGACAGGGGTGCCCGTGGTCACGTGGGCAGGAGGGACCCAAGTGACCTCAGATTCCTCCAGGCCCCGGCCAGCCCCTCCCCCAGCCTCCCTGTGTGTCCAGGGAGGGGGGCAGCCCGAGCCCCCACCTTTGTTGAAGATCGTGTCCCAGGCATCCTTGTGATCCTTCCAGATCTTGGTGCGGAGGACGCGGAAGAGGCCGGGCGGCAGGTGCAGCATGGGCACGCTGCTGTGGAACATGTGTTCAATGGCGTCGATGAACCTCTGGTTGTCCGGGTCGACCATCTCCTCCAGCATGCCCAGCCGCTCCCCGAATATGACGGAGGTGATCGCTGCGGGGAAGGGATGGCGGAGGCCGAGGTGAGGGGAGCCCCTGGCCTCCTCTACCCCCAGCCTCCACGGCAGCCCTCCCACCGCGCCTGGCGCTCGAACTCAGGGCCCGGGCGCTGTCCCTGGAGATTTATTCATTCAAGGCTCAGGCTCTAGCACTTGAGCCACAGCTCCACATCTGGCTTTTTGGTAGTTTATTGGAGATAAGACCCTCACAGATGCTGGGTGCCGGCGGATCACGCCTGTCATCCTAGCTACTCAGGAGGCTGAGATCTGAGGATCCTGGTTCAAAGCCAGCCTGGGCACGAAAAGTCCTTAAGATTCTTACCTCCAATAAATCACTCAGAAAACCAGAAGTGGCGCTGTGGCTCAAGTGGTAGAGCACTCGCCTTGAGCTGAAGAGCTGGGGGACAGCGCCCAGGCCCAGAGTTCAAGCCCCATGACAAAACAAACAAACAAACAAACAAAGTGTCTCACAGGTTTTCCTGCCTGTGCCGGCTTAGAACCGGGATCCTCATATCTCAGGCATGAGCTACCAGCAACCAGCTAGGAGAGTGCCTTATTGACTAAGTAGATTAGCTATACACTTCCTGCCATATGTAGGAGGGGAGACTAAGGGCCCAAACCCTTGGGTAATCCATTATCCAAGACTCAGTCTAATTGGAAAAGAGTTTGAATTATACCAAGCTCAGAGCACCCTGCCTTTTCCCCTTCCTCCCAGCCCCTGACCGCACAATCTGTAGAAAGCCATACCGATACAGGTCCTGCGGGGTCTGAGCAGGGACTCAGGGTAAGATTAGGAGGTCCAGGGGAGAGGGGACCCCACCCCTCCCCGCCCAGCCCCTTACACTCGAAGGCAAAGCGGAACAAGTCGTGACTGAGGTCCCCTGAGAAGGTTCCGGAGCGCTGCTGCTTCACGCGTCTGTTCAGCAGTCTGACAAAGTCCTGAGACACGGCCTCCATCATGGGCACGAAGTTCCTGATGGCCTCCGGAGACATCACCTCCTGGTTCAGGACCATGCGGTCTGTCTTCCAGGCCTCCGACTTCCTGAAGAAGCAGGACAGCCCACCCCCAGGGCCCCAGAATCAGAGACTCCGGGCCTGACCCCCACCCCTGACCCCCAGCCTGGGCCAGGACCCCCTGATAGCAAGGGGAGGAAACAGCCAAACACTGCGGCTCACGCCTGTCATCCCAGCTCCTCAGGAGGCTGAGATCTGAGGATCGTGGTGCGAGGCCAGCCTGGGCAGGAAAGTCCATGGGACAAGTCTTTATCTCCAATCAACCACTAGAAAACTGAAGTGGAGCTGTGGCTCGAGTGGTAGAGCGCTCGCCTTGAGCTGAAGAGCTCAGCATCCAGGCCCTGAGTTCAAGCCCCAGGACTGGCCAAAAAGAGACAGAATAAAATAATAATAATAATGATAATAATAATAATAATGATAAAGAACAAGTGCACTGCCTCCCGACTCTGCTGTGCGCACTGCAAGCGGGAAATGGAGTGTGTGTGCATGTGCGCGTGCACGCGTGTGTCTGTGTGCACGTGCACGCGTGTGTCTGTGTGCCCGAGCACGCGTGTGTCTGTGTGCGCGTGCACGCGTGTGTCTGTGTGCCCGTGCACGCGTGTGTCTGTGTGCGCATGCACGCGTGTGTCTGTGTGTGCGTGCACGCGTGTGTCTGTGTGCCCGTGGGCTGTACTGAGGTTGAACTCAGGGCCCCGTGTGCTCAGCTTCCTTGCTCAGCTGAGGCTCTGCCACCTGAGCCACGCCTCCGGTCCAGCTTCTTCCTGGTTGGTTGGAAATAGAATTCCACGCACACATCATTCATGAACAGTCTCTCGCCAGCTCACCCAGGGAGTCAGGGCCCCCCTCTGTCCCCATCTCTCTAGAGTGGGTCTCAGCACCCCCTCTCAGCCCCCCTGAGCCCCCCCCCCCGCACTCACTTCAGCAGCACGCCGGTGGGTTTCTGGTAGCACTGGTGATAGGCCACCCAGGGCGGGATGAGGTAGCGCTCCGGGTGACGCCCTTCCCCCTTAAACAGCACCGCCACGTCCTCGGGGTCCATGATATACACAGACTCTACGTTCCCCAGCTTCTCCCTGGAGGGGCAGGAGAGAGTCTCATCTCCAGGGAACGGTCCTGCCCACGCTGGATGTGAACCACCATCCTCAGATCTCAGCCTGCTGAGGAGCCGGGATGGCAGGCGTGAGCACCGGCGCCCGGCTCTTTCTCCATGGTCACTGTGCTGGGTCATCCAGAGCCCGGGACCTGCCTCCCCCAGTCTTGTCCTTGGCTTGCCTACAACCTTCCAGAAAATTCTCTCCATGCTTTTCCAGCTACCAAGTAGATTAGAACTAGCTCCCCAGTCCCTGGGCCACAGCATCTGGGCCACAGCCCGAGGCTCTGGTGACCAGCGGGCCTCATGGTGGAGAGGAGGCAGCCTGCCGGCCTGTGAACACAACCTCCACCCTGCTCTGTGAACGCACAGCCTCCAAACATGGCGCCCTGGGCTGGGAAGGTGGCTCAGTGGTAGAGTGCTTGCCTAGCATGCATGAAGCCCTGGGTTCGATTCCTCAGTGCCACATACACAGAAAAGGCCAGATGTGGTGCTCTGGCTCAAGTGGTAGAGTGCCCAGCCTTGAGCAAAAGAAGCTCAGGGACAGTGCCCAGGCCCTGAGTTCAAGCCCCAGGACTGGCACACACACACACACACACAGAGCTTGAAGATGGCCGACCTTAGACCCTGCCACACCAGGAACAAGCCATAGACCCTGAGGCCTCGCAGCCTAAGGCTGCACAGCAGAGGTTGCAGACCCTGCAAAGACAGGAGCAGAAGCAGCTGCTGGCCCAAGGAAGGGGAGCCAGCACCCCACCCCACAGCCGAGGAGTCTAACTGGCCCAGAGGGGAAGAGGGAAAGAGCCAGGGTCTTCTCCCTGACTGTGGGATTTCACAGACTTCATTTACAGCCGTTCTGAAGACCATGGTGCAGAAGAAGTATTAAGAGAGCGTGTCCTCAGCTAGGATTAGAGACTCAGGCCTGCAATCCTAGAAACTCAGGAGGCTGAGATCTGAGGATCACGGTTCCAAGCCAGCCTGGGCAGGAAAATCCTATGAGATTCTTATCTCCAATGAACCACCAGAAAACCGGAAGTGGTGCTGTGGTTCAAAGTGGTAGAGCGCTAGCCTTGAGCAAAAGAGCTCAGGGACAGCGCCCAGGCCAAAGTTCAAGCCCTATGACCCATAATAAAAAAAAAAAAAAAAGCAGAGAGACATTGTCCTTGGCCTGGTCTGGTGGCACAAGCCTGGAATCCTAGAAACTCAGGAGGCTGAGATCTGAGGGTCAAAACCAGCTCAGGGAAGGAAAGTCCATGAGACTCTTATCTCTCAGTTTACTAACAAAAAGGCAGAGTGGAGGTGTGGCTCAAGGGGTAAAGTGGCCAGCCTTGAGTGAAAACCTTAAGGGACAGTGCCCAGACCCTAAATTGAAGCCCCAGTATAGGACAGATGGAAGGAAAGAAGGAAGGAAGGAAGGAAGAAGGAAGGAAGGAAGGACGCGAGGGAGGGAGGGAGGGAGGAAAGAAGGGAGGGAAGAAGGGAGAGGGAAGGAGGGAAGGAGAGAAGGAGGGAGGGAGGGAAGGAGGGAACAAGGGAGGGAAGGAGGGAGGAAGGGAAGGAGGGAGGGAAGGATGGAGGGAAGGCGGGAGGGAGGGAAGGAGGGCACCCCATCTCTAGCATGGGGGTGCAGGGTGAGGCTGAGTCTTCAGTGTCTGAAACCCTGAGGCCTTTTCCTTCTGTAAACCAGAAGGCTGTGGGGGGGACCCAGGGCAGATCCTTGTGTGGGGAGGAGCCCAGCGCTGAGCCCCGCGGGCCCGTGCTCACCTATAGATGGTGCCATACTTCTGGAAGCTTCGCACGTGGTGGTGGTGGATGCGCTGGGCGCCTTCCTCCCTCCAGAAGTGGAATAGGTTCAGCCAGCCATTGTCCCCCGGGGACGGGATCTCGTGGAAGGGACGCGGCCCGGGCGTGGACAGGGTGGCCGCGCCTCGGCCTGGCTCGCCGGGATGCCCGGGGCTCTGGCGGCGCGCGCCCCAGGCGGGCTGGCAGCTTTGCACCAGGACCGAGCGCCCAGGAAAGCCTTTGGGAAACATGATGTGCGCTGCAGCGGCCTCGGGCCTCAGGGCTGTGCTTATAAGGGCTAGCTCAAGGCCGGCTCTCCGCCTCGTCCTCCCCAGGCCCCTCCCACACCCAGACACTCCTTCCCTCAGACATCACAACCACCAACACACCTGTCCTGGGTGTTTGCCGGGGCTGGGAATGACCCGCTGACCCCTGTGTGGGCCAGGACTCAGGCTTGAGCAGATAATGTCAAGGGAACAGAGAGCCGGGCTCTGTGGCTCACGCCTGTCATCCCGTGGACTCGGGAGGCTGAGATCTGAGGATCGAGGTTTAAAGCCAGCCCCGGGGGTGGGGAGGGGGAGAGAGGAAAAAAATCTGTGAGACTCTGAGCTGGGGCTCAAGGAGTGGAGCACCAATCTTGAGCAGAAAAGCTCAGGGATGCTACCAGGCCTGCCTGGCTGCCACACGCTGGGGTGAGGAAGAGGAAGATGAAGCACGTGCCCTCAGGTGACCTCCAGGCCCAACCTCAGCCTCTACAAAGTGAACCCTGAGACCCTGGGGCGCAGGATGGAGCCCGGCCCTTCCTGCGGAAGTTTGTCCCTCCAGGCTGCCTGCATTCCTGTCTGACCCTTGACCTCCACAGCTGAAGTCCTGAACTTTATCCTGTGTTCAACATGGCGGTAGAGTCAGACAAAGCCCACCCAGGGGGCCTGGACTCAGGAAATCTTCCCCTGAGGGGAGGCAGGGCCTGGCCTTCCTTGAAGGAATGTACTAGATAGTTCTCCGTTGCAGGATGCTTTCCATGCAGTCCCTGTCTCCCCCCACCCCCCTCCTCACCCCATCACCAGCTGGGTTCTAAGACTTTCCCTGATCTCCACCTGAGGACGCTGAGGATCTAATCCAATGGATGACATCTTACCCCCAAGGTTGTCACTTGGGAATAGCAGCATAGCTGGGATTTGAACCCACAACATGGGTGACTGGCCAGGTGGTACTGAGCTGTCAGGCCCCCTGGCCGGGCTGCTGAGCAGAGATCTGGAGACAGGAATGAGGATAGGCAGCCATGAGCAAGAGCCGAAGAGCACAGAGCAGCCTGGCTAACGGTCAGGATGAAACCAGGGGCTTTGCACCCCCGGCTGAAGGCCAGGGACCCCCAGTGAGGTCTGGCCATCGCTCCCCACAATACGACGTGAAGGGCGGAGGAAGGAGAGGGATTACACAGCAGCCGGGGGAGAAACATCCAAGGACATCTTTAGCGTCCTGTGGGGAGCAGGCATCGACCTCGGGGTAAGTAATGAGAAATGGGGGGCCGGGGCTGAGAAAGATCCGCACAGCTCACACAGTCCCAGGTCCCAGGTGAGGCCTGGGGGGACCATGAGCTCCGTCTTTGTCCCAGGAAGAATTCTAGAAGGTTTCACCTTATTACTGGAAAAGAATGAGAATGAGGTGATTTGCGTTCTCAGCTGTTTGCTAGAAGGAGAAGAAAACGAAGGAAAGGGGGAAGGGAAGGGGGGGGAGGAAACAATTGGCCAGGCCCTAGTGGCTCACACCTGTAATCTAAGCCACTCAGAAGGCTGACATCTGAGGATCACGGTTCGAAGCCAGCCCAAGCAGCAAAGTCTGTGAGACTCTTATCTCCAGCTAACCACCAAAAAGCTAGAAGTGGCACTGTGGCTCCCGTGGTAGAGCAGCAGTCTGGAGTAAAAACTAGGGACAGAATCCAGGCCCTGAGTTCAAGCCCCAGTGCATCACCCAAAACAAAACTAACAGGCATTGCGTGTTAGAGGGCCTGTTTGCCTTACATACAAGATGTTTATCTGAAAGTTTTTCTTCTGGCAAACACTAAGTGGATCGATAAGTGGACTCTGGCAGAGTAGAGCTCCGGATCAAGGGGGCACAGATTCAAAGTTGGGGGACGCCAATGCACAGCACCCAGCTTTCGCATCTTTCCCATAGTCTCTGATGAACACAGGCTAAGAGACGCAGCATCTGCTCCATCGGGCCCATTACACACACGCGAAGACTGAGGCTGGGCAGGCCCCAGGCCGACCTGAGTCCCCCAGGGGGACCATAGGGCCCAGGCCCCGCCTTCCTCCCAGAGCCACGCGGGCCTGACTCAGGGGTGACCTTTTCCCTGACCTGCTCCAGGCAAGGCCAGCCCCAAATTCCTGAGGGCTTCCTAAATCAGCTTCTGGTGCCAGAAAGGGGGCTCAAGGTCAGGAGAGAAAGGAAGAGAAAATGAAGAAAAAGAAGAAGGAGGAGGAAGAAGACAAAGGAGGAGGGAGGAGCAGGAGGAGGGAGGAGGAGAAAGAGGAGGAGGAAAAGGAGGGGGAAGAGGAGGAGGAGAAGGAGGAAGATTATTTTCATTCCCCCTTAGTCTTGGACAGATGAGACACTACTTTCCCTGCCCTGCTCTGGTCCTAGGAAAGGTCAAAATTCCTCCCAGCAGAGTGGAGGCTGCGGTCAGGCGAGGCTGGCCTCGCTCCAAGGCCTTGGCAAACCTCACATGACACGCAGCGTGTCAGCTCTTCTTACCCAACCCCACCAGACCCATCCTCCTGGCCCAGGCCGCCCCCCCACCCCCTCCCCATAGCACCTTTCCAGCCAGACACCCACACACACACCCCGTGGCTCACATCGGTCATCCCAGCTACTCAGGAGGCTGAGATCTGAGGATCACAGTTCAAAGCCAGCCCAGGCAGGAAAGTCCGTGAGACTCTTATGGCCAATGAACCACCAAAAAGCTGGACGTGGAGCTGTGGCTCCAGTAATAGAGCACCAGCCTTGAGTGACAAAAGCCCGGGCCTTGAGTTCAAGTCCCAAGATACACACACACACACATACACACACACCACCACCAGTCCAACAACCTTCCTCCTTTCCAAGAAGAAAGAGCTTGCGTGTCTAGGACACGTTTAATGACAGAATCGTGTTAGTCAGCATTCTTTGGGTCACGAGTAGCAGAAATCCAGCTGAAGTGGATGGAGATGAAGATAAGTAAACACGCAGGCATTGGCATCCACTTGGAAAGTTCAAGGGTACTCCCCGCCTCTCTCTGCTCCCATTTTCCTGAGGGCCAGCTCCCTTCTCAGGATCCATGGCCACAGCAGGAAGGAAGCCCAGGGGCCTGGGAACCCCCCCCCCCAGTTCTGACAGAGCTCCACCTTCTCCAGTTGTTGGGGGGGGGGAGGAGAAGGGAGGGGAGGTGCCACGCCGACTCCAGTGGAGTCTGCTTAGCATGGGAAACCATCTATCAGACCATGATAGGGGCTTCAGAGACCTATCTCTGATTATTGGGACTTCACCGAAGTCTGCCTCGGAGAATGGGGCTTCTAAGAGACCTACTCCTGGAAAGGCTGGCAAACCCCTGGGAAAGATGTGTTTCTGCCTTTCTTTTCCTCACTGTATAAGAGTGCCTATTAATCTTGTACTGTTTCTGCTGTTCATCGTACTTATTCATTGTCAACCTTCCCTTATTCAAAGCTCTTTCTTAAGAGTGTTGATGACTCCAATATCTGATGAGTGTCTTAAAAATATGACTAACTCACCAGAGTTAAGTGCTACCCTGAAACCCCTCTTATGGAGGCTAGTAGACAAGTTATAAGTAAATATAAAAGTATTGGGGGTTTCACGATGTCACTTCAGCAGAAGGAATTGTTTGTAAGAGATTTGCAAAAAGCTGTAGGCGCGGCTAGAACAGAAAGAATGCATGGCAATTGCTGAGATAACTACTTAGGAGAAAGAACTTCCTATTACTCTCTTTTATTTACTAAGAGACTTGCTAGATCTAAGTCTCCTTGGTGTTTACTATTAAAGAAGGAACAGGAAAGATCTTATGGGACAGTTAAGGCCTCTATAGAAATAAGGTAATGGTTAGTTGGTGACAAACATCTTAGAGATAAGCCGGAAACAAGTGCCTATCAGGCGACCAGCTGGTGACCACCCAAGAATGAAGCCCTGCAGCAAGGTTGTGTAACCTTTTGCCCTTTCTTATGGAGATTTTTGCTATAAAAGCTTGTTATCCTCTGCATTAAATCGCACTCAGCATCCACTCCTCTTGTGTGTGAGTTGCCATCTCCCCATCCTACTCCAGTTCCTCCCCTAGGTGCCCCGACAGAACCCAGTCTGTGGCAGGGAGGTCTCAAAGAGGGACTCCGATTGGTCAGTTTGGGTCACATGTCTAATTCCTTCATCCAATCACAGAAGACAATGCACCTGATAGACTGGGCTTTAGTCATCAGGTCGTTGATGGGGCCTCCAGAGCCCTACAAGATGGTGATGCTCTCTCTCCCCTACCCAGAGGTAGCCTGGTTCACCTGCTGCCTATTGGAAGTTTTCTGTCCAAGCTGGGATGACAGGCATGCACTTCTACATCCAGCTCTGTATGCAGAATGATGGTCTCTGTCCAAGTTGGCCTTAAAACCCAATCCTCGCCATATCAGCCTCCCATTGTGTGTGTGTGTGTGTGTGTGTGTTGGTATTGGGGCACTGTCCCTTACATAGATAGACCAGGCTGTCCTGAGCCAGACAGCCACCCAGCACTAGACCTGTGGCCCAACTTGAAAGGTGAATGAGACCCACAAAACCCTCCCTCTCCCTCCCCACACACAGGGAGGGCACAGCACCCCTCCCTCCCCCATCCCTGCTCCCTCACCTGGCCGCCCAGGCCCACCCCACCCCAGCAGCCCACCTGCCCAGCCACCTTCTTCCACAGACACCTAGACTCCTAGAAGGTCTCCTCTCCACCCATGCAAGCATCCAAATACAAAAAGGTTGCTCTAACACTTCTGAAAAGATAGTCAGCAGCTTTCTCCTGAAATCACTCACCCGGGAAGAGCTCCTGAAACTTGCAATTGGGTATGAGAGACACACACAGGCACAAAGACAGAAAGACAGAGCTGGAGACGGAGACAGACAACATAGCTGTGAGGAAAGGGTTAAGAGGTTGGAATTCGCCCTCAAGGCTGAGAACTGGACCCTGGAAAGGTGGGAACAGAGCAGACAAAACAAATGTCTAAGTTACTATTAACTG